GTTCAGCAACGGCTCCTCATGAAACTGGAGAGAGATGTCAAATAGACTACTATAGAATTCAGTCCTGAGCCCAAAACTGTCCTTCAGGACTTGAATGAAGAGGTGGAAGGAATGCTTGTCAGATTGATAGGTAAAGAAGAGGAAGATCGAAGATGGATGATATTCATTTATTAATTCATTACTTGCATTTGTATGGAAGTCCCCTAGAATCATCAAGGACCCGGGTAGCTTCCCTACATAAAATAAAAACCATATTGCAAAACCTACAACAATAACATCAAAAGGTATAAAGCCTCTAATCATTAATGGTTTAAAACTAACTAAAGTCACCCATCCCCAATATAGGACACCAGTTACTCCAGAGCTTTTATGAAAAGCAACCAAATTTATGGCCACTGTAAATACTAGCTTGGAGGAAATCCAAGGTGGCCCAGAGCAAAGAACTGTCCAAGAAGATCTGCCTCTGAGACTATGGACTCAGACTTTATGGAGTGACAACCACAGCCACCTCTCTCAACCAGCATATATTAGACGGGCAGATTCTACTTGGAGTAGATGGTTCTGAAGACTACAAAGATTGGGAGTATAATGAGTTTTTAGAGGCGATGATAACCACCTGGTTTCAGAAACCAACCAGCATCTGATACCACCTCCAGTATATCTATGTAAATTCTGTACCAGCTAACACCTATCAGCAAGCAAACTGCAACATTCTGCATCAGCTAGATCTGAGATCTCTTGTTCCCCTGGTAGATCAAATGAAATGGACCACTTTTGCTCTGGTAGCTGTTCCAGGAAAGGGGGCAATTGGTACAACAACTGGCACTGACAAAGCTGGTCCTTGCTATATTCTTCACCTGCTGTAGTAGCATCTGCTGTAAGACCAAGAGGACATCTAGAAGATGGAAGCAAAAATTGTGTCGAGAGATTAGAGAACTGGATTGGAAACGACAGAATGAAATTTAACTGAGACATGCAAAGTTTTTACTTGGGAAAAATATAATACCACAATACCAAATGGGGAATATGTGGCTTGTTAAGAGTAGTCTTTTGCAAATTGAACATGAGTCAGCAGTGTGGGAAGACTTCTGAAAAGAAAAGAGCTATATCAACAGAAGGATAATTTCCAAATTGTGGGAAATAATAATTCCTCTATATTCTGCGTTGGTTAGGCTCTGCCTTCAGAAAACTGAACAAGTGCATAGGCATGCAATGAAGAATGCTGGGAGTTGGGAACTTGATTTAATAACATTCAACAGCAAAATTATTTTAAAATTCAGAAAATCTAAAAGGGGCAGATACCTTAGAAGAAAACTAAGTCTTTCATGGAAAGACTGAAGGAACTGAGTATGTCTTGTTTTGAGGAAGGATAACAAGGGACTAGAACAGCCATTTCCAAATGTATAGAATAGAATA